CAGAAAAAGATGTTGAAATGTCTGAAAGGTCGGACACAGGCGAGAGCGTATCGGGAGATGGAGACCAACAAGACCTCCCTCATCCTTTGTCCTTTCTCAAAGAATTTTTCCAAATAGTCGAAAAATTGAGCTTTCAGTTCATATAGTGGCATCTGGCTGTTTTGTTTTTAAAGGTTACTTCATACTTTTGTACTTTAAGTAGTTTTTGGAGCACTTCCTTTTTCACTTTTACTTGAGCAAAGAGGTCAAGTTGATCCTTCAACTTTTATTGGTGTTTATTAAACTGCGGTATCTGTACTTCTAATTAAGAAATGTGTGTACTTTTGACACCACTGTTAAAACTGCATATTTAATATCAAACTTAGGTAAACATATTTGGGAGGAGGGGCTCTATACATTTGGGCACAACTTAATATTTCATTACAAAACACAATTTCATGGGAACTGGTTACAAACTGCCTCGGTTATAGTTTATTATCATTCAAAAAATAACTGTAAATGTTTGAACAAATATGTCAACAGAAATGGCAAACAGTTCGTAACACACATTTACAGTTAGTCTATGGCTGCGTCCGAACGTCTTCCCTAACCCCTCCATCACTATATAGAGTGGGGGCCATCTTTGTTCTCTCTCGCCCCAAAGACGAATACCATAATGCTTTGTGAGGAGAGTTTTTTCTGGGATATATCTGCTTATCTAGCGACCACTAGTTTGCAAGGTGCATTGTGGGAAATTTTGGTTGCACTGCTTTTTAATCCACTAGACATAAAATGCAACCCCTATATAGTGATCTATATAAGGGTTAGGGCGGACGTTCAGACACAGCCAATCTAACAAGTTAATTCGCTGTCCTCATTTAAGTGACGTTACAAAAATAAAGTCTGCAAGCAGATTTGTTTACCAGGTACATGTGACAGTGAAGTTAAATAGCATTACAAAGTAATGGATTCTTTTTGAACAATCGTCCTGTAAAGATGCTACTTATCACAGCTTCATTTAACCTTCGTCTTGAGGTAAAACAGTTCAGGTTTGGAAAAATCTGAACAAACTACTTTTTTCAAACTTTGCTCCATTCATTTGATTTATTTTGTCAGATGTAAAACTGCACTTTAATACTAAATAAGTGGGGAAATTACTAAAGAGGAATGAGCTCCTTTAAATACCAAGACAACTTTAACGCATCCTTTTGCAAACAATCTTATTAAAATAGTAGCTGAGAATGTTATGTTAAAATAAAACTGGATAAAATCAGTACAATCTGTAGTTTTTGACAGAGTTTTAAACAACATTGAAATGTTTGGTTTGTTGTTGCTTCATTTAAATAAAAACTAAAAAGAATTACTGTGAGGCAGATTTCTTCCTTTTAACCCCGAGCACAGAATAAACCTGAACTGATTATAAATAAAAGCTGTGACCAAACAAAGCCTTGTGGGATGTTAAAGCGAGAACATAAATGAACCATAGAATGAAATATAGAAAGTACTTTTACACACTAAATGGTTTTTTTCTTAATGGCTTAATGTGAGTGTAAGTTCTTTTTGGGTTAGATCTTACTTGCTGCACCCAGGCCTTAGAACCACCAGGGCATTAGAGGCAAGAAACACGCTTTAATAAACTGTCTGACAGCATGAAGTAGGCTTAAAGAACCCAAAATGCAAAATACCATTAAAGGAATTCGAGAACTGCAGAAGTCATTGACATCAGTCTGGTTAGTCTTTAGGAATCCAGAAAAACCACAGGAACCATCCTGGGAGTAGAAGTTAAACAGGATTGACTCCAAGAGGGCATTACTGACCCAGCTAAGAGGTCCTTAACGAACCCAGAACATTTTAAAGCTCCACAGATCTAATTTACCTCAGTTAAGATCAGTGTTAATGATTCAACATTTTGACTGAACAAAAATGGCTTCCATGGAAAAGTTTCTACCCTGATGACCAAGAACCAGTGCAGCATTTTAGGGACGATAAGATTAAAGTCCTGGGTCCAATTTGTTCGTTAGATAATAAAAAGTTGTTGCCAAAGGTGAGAAAACCAATTATTGTGTTTAAAAAGAAAAAGAAAAACCCTGTTCGATTTTAGTACATTTTGAAATGTTTGTCTTTGATAAATAATAGGATTAAAAAAAACTATTTTTTATTTACTCGAGTAATATTTGCTGATAAAATTTATTTGATCCTAAACATACGGTATAAATGAGGGATAAAAGAAACAGGATTTTTTTTTTTGTATCTGTAAGAGGGCAAATACTTTTCACAGAATTGTATTGTTTGTTCAACATTCAAAGATTTTAATGATTCATTTATAATTAAAGTTGTTATTTACTTTTGACAAGTTATAAATACCTACTTATTTATATTATTTGAGCTGCAGCAAATCCTGCCAAAAATAATTTTGCACACTTGGCAGGGTTGTTCCCTTTGAAATTAGTTTTTATTACGGAACTGTGCCTGAATCTGCCTACTGATTCCTTATGGCACACAAGCTGACATGTTGGCCCAGTAACATCTTCACTGCTGCAATTTTAGTGATTAAATGCCCTCGAGTTTGAACCCCTTTTACTGACGCATTCTGCAGCAATAAGAGAGCAAACTTTAAGCTGAACAAATAAAAAGCTCCAGAAAAGGATTAGAGTTTTCCCAACGCAGTGCTTGGATAAAAGAGTTAATGTTTTACTTCTTCCCATTTGCAAGTCCAGAGTTCAGTGGGGATAACACCAAAAAAAAAGCAAACTGCTAAAGTGAAGTACCTATCCCCTTCCTTAAACACAAAGGACAAATCAGAAAGCTGTGTGTGGAAGACTGAACATGATGAGTCTCAACCTGCTTTAACATGCTGCTGCTGGTGTAAGTTTGGGAAAAAAGAAAATGCACATTAATTCATAAAATCTGTGTGAGGGCATCAGTTTCTTTGAAGTTCTTCACACTGCAGCCTTTGATTTGGTATTGCTGAATGTGACGATGAGGAGGAGCACCGCATTTCCCCGGATGTGCAGCAAGATGAAAGGGGCGTGTCCAGAGAGGAGGCTTAGCTGTCTTTGTGTAGCGTCTGATGAAGATGGAGGTAAAGTGGCTTCTTGGTGAGCAGCTGCAGTTTCTTCCTCTTAAAATCTGTGGGCTTCTTGTACCTGAAAGAAAAAAAAAATGTGTTTCCTTTTTATGTCATGATTTTCTGGAAATGTAATAGTTGTTATAAAAAAAAAAAAAAAACACTCACAGTTCAATGACAATGGGTCCAGGTTTGATCTCATCCATTTCCATGAAGGCGAAGCATTTTGTGCTGGTGAACCTCTTTTTGGGCTTGTAGTGCTTGAATTCAAAGAAGATAGCTGCACCTAGAAGACGTTAGTTTTATATCAATACCATGACTAAATATACAGCGGAAGAAATCAAAGTGGAACTCATACTTTTTTCTTTTTATTACATGAAAAATGTGTAAATTTAAAGTGTTTAAGCCATCCCACAGCATGATGCTGCCCCTATTATGTTTCCTCTGTCTCCATATTGCAGTTATTCTCTAACAAACAGCAGGAACCTCAATTAACCAGTCTATCTGGACTGAATACAGGCTGAAGACACTGATGAGGAAGATTTTAATGCATTAGTAAAGTATATGTATGTTTTTCTCCTCCACCAATTTATCCAATAATGTTTGTTTGTTTATAGAGGTCTGCAACCTATGGCTCTTTGGAACCTTGGTCTTAATAGGGGTTAAAAATGTTAACTTATAGTTTTGAATACAGTTTGATGATAGATACCAATCTGAGAAGCTTTAGCAGGTATATATATTTTTTATTTTATAAAATTTTCTCTATAGAATAACAATTAAATAACCAGAAATAAGTTTTTAGGGTCTACATTTTTGACACAAGCTTAAAAATAGTTTCTTTTTTTGTTGGTACTTTTGTTTTTTATTTGTTTACACATCAAATAAAACCCTTTTGAAGACAACTCACACTTCCTTTTTCAACCCTAGTTTTTAACCTTAAAAATATAAAAAAGAAATTGAAAATGGCAACACTTTTCCTACAGCAGATATTTAACAAAAATAATAAGTTGTGTTTTATCATTTGCAGCTTTAAACAACTTTTTTTTTCTTTTTTACTGGATTTGGGGTATTTTACCAAAAAACCTTTTTTTTTGGATTCTATAATATAAAATCCCATTGAACACAGTGACTGTATGTTGATGTATGAATGGGTTTTCATAATCGCATAGTAAAAGACTATGCAAACTTTATAAAGTGTGATTAATCACATTAAACATGTTTGTGACGTCTAGTTTTTAACTCTAAAAATCCCAACCAAAAAAAATTTATAAATATTTCCAATTTGTTTTTCAAATGATATGTTTGAGATTAGTTAAAACCAGGGAGTTCACCACCGCATCAATTTATGTGTCATCAGTACGAAACAGTTTGAGGAAATTAGAGATTTTATCTATGAGGGCTGAAAGGAAGACATTTTTTCGGATTACATGTTTTTGCAAAATATCACACCTACAAAACCCAGCGGAGACAGCGTTCAGTCTGAACGCACCTTTAAAAGGACACTTTAGAAGACTTGAAAGGTGAAAATTAGTTTGTTTCTCTTGTAAGTTAGATATGTTTTTAATTAGGATATATTTTTTTTTAAATCAAGTGATTAATTATGTATTTATAAATTTACTTTAACAATGTAAGATTTCTGTAACTTTTTTCTGGGAAGGGCTCTCTGAGCATTTCCTGTTTCTCTTGTCTTTTGTGGACAGATCTGCCAGTACACAGTATTGCAACCAGTCCCACCATAATTTCACCACATGCTTCTGATTTACCAACATTGCCTCAGATTTCCTGCCAGGACATGAAGCAAAGAAGCAAAAAAAACTGCCTCTGAATCAACCATTGGTTTCTACCCAATGACAGTAATCACCTTTTGGTAATTTCTCTATATGCTTCTGAATTTCTACATCCACGTTGAAGTGAATGTACGTGTCTTCCTTCCTGGTGGCCACAGGAGTGTCCTGCATTGGGTTCAGATCCACGCCGTTCATATCTGAAAGCAGAACACACAGACAAAGGCAGGTTATCATCACTGGAAGAAGGTGCTCTTTCTTCAGGTCATTAGATGTTTCCCTCTGGGACAGAGAAAAAACAAGATGGCGGCTGAAAACCTTGTCTATGAAGTGATTACCTTTGACGCTGATGCTCATGTAAGGATCGATGCACTGGCCGGCATCCTTCAACCCAATTTTTTCTATTCTTACTGTGAGTAGTGTCATTCCAGGTTCTGAGGGTAACCGTGGCAACAGGGTACCTGTAAAACAAGCAGAAAGAAAAGATTAGCTCCTTCAATAAAAGTTATTGCAATATATTTGTTTTCTAGAAGCTTGTTTGTAATTTTTTTACATTTGATTTGAAGTATTTCAAAAATAATGCAAATGTTTTTATTATTACTATCTGGATATCTATTATTTTGGCATAATCTTTCAAAAATTCAGTTAAAGCTACAGTGTGTAACTTTTAGCGACATCTAGCGGTCA